CAATGCGATTATTTAATTGCGTTGTTGAGATCAGTCTAGATATTTGCATAATCTAAATTTCAGAACAAGTCTTTTATGGGTCCAGTTTCTAGCTTACTATACATCATGCTTGTTTGCCATGGCTATACATAGCTTTACCACTGGAAAAAAGCCTTCTTACAATGTACTTCAGAAATACATTTTCAAAAATAATATTACCAAAAATAGCAGTGACATACTTTTGATTCCATCGATTGAGGCATTGACACTGTTGTTGTTATGGCTTCAGTTGTTCTTGATGATGTTGTAGCTGTTGTAATTGCCCTCACTGCAGGGGTCGATGTAGATGAATTGTTTCGTTCTTGACCCGCTTTTAATCCAGTAAAGAACGGGATTTTTGGAGACATATCATATAGCTGCTGTGAGTACCGTTGCTCTTCAAACAATATATAACAGAAACTTTCTAAACAAAATGATGGTGATTGCTTTCCATTTCAGTTCTAGTTTACAAGAACGTCAAATAATTGCAACGCTATTTCAATTAAGGTTGACAATAATAGTCAAATAGCTACAAACTACAATATGAGCGGTGAAAGAATGATGCAAAAATCATAATTTTCAATATGTTTGACAGATCAATATTGCATCGTTTGCAGATTACCGAAATATTGTTCAAATTGTGCGAGCGTGTTAAACATATTTTAAATCTGTGATTTTTGCGTCCTTCTTTGACGAAGTCATAAAATTTGACTATATTGTCCGTGTCAACCTTCTATGTCAACCTGTATTCATTGTATATGCACTTAACATATACTGCACTTACCAACATTTTAGCCCAAACTTTAAGTTTAAATTCAGTATAATCGCCTCCATGTTTCTGTTTTAATAGCTGTATTATATATGCTCCCCATGTTGGCTGCTGAAGATGAAATTGGTGCTACACACATAAAGATTAATGCATAAAAGTATTTAGGAAACGTTATAAACACATTTTTCAAATGAAACACGCGTGTTTACCATTATCACCATCATCGTCACTTGCATCTGAGCGAGCTCTCTTGGTCATGCCCTTGCAATTGTATTTAGCCGCTGGAGAGTCTGCAGCTTCTGTCCAAAACGTTACCCAACCGTCTTTAGCCATAGAATACGCTTCAACTAGGTTGCTATCGTTCGCCATAACTATACGTCTGTTTCTGCCAGCAATATAGCCGAGCTTGAATGAATGCTCATTATCAGCTGGGGACAATTCCACGGCGAAGTTTTCTAGCAAATACTCCTTCATCTCATTCAAACTATCAAACATTGGCACATTTTGCCGACTATACGTGCTATATTTTGTTCGGTTACTCTTACACACAATTTTCAGGATAACATGAATTGTAGCCTGCTTTTCAATGCTTGTCAGAGTGTGATGAAGACAGGTATGTAAATCTTATAGCAAAGCGTTTGGTATAAACAAGAAAAAGCAATGTTACCTCATGGGATTAACCTGTTCTATTCAATTTCAAAGGTTTTAAGGTTTATACACTCTATAGCAATTTTCTTTTAACTTTTATTCATTCATGACTATTTGATTGTTTTAATAATTTATGGAGAGAAAAAATGTTTAATATATCATTGTCTTGCGCTGAAGAAATTTTTTTGCATTTATTTTATCACCATACAGATCACCAGCGATATAAATAAATACGCAAAATTCTATGATGAAAACTTGTTGTAGTTTGTTTTGCGTTTTATAGTTTGTTTGCGTGTTAACGCCTCTTAACCGCTGCATTAATTATACAAAATTATTATAAAAAGTTTATATAATTACGTATTACATATTGCTGCACCATCTTCATGATCACAACTAGCTCTTCGTGAGGATGCATTGATATGCAATTGTATGGCCGGCCGATGATATAGCTGTATTGACATTTCCTATTTCTCTGAACTTTCTTACATAACGTTTTATTGTTGACTGTAATATTTGCGGGTAAAAACTTACTTGTTCTAATTCATGATCTAATATTTCGGCTAAGAAAATTGCTCTCCAGCTTATTGATCTTGGCTGTATGGGGCCGGCATTTCATTTACATGAAAGGTCCCAAAGTTCTTTGCGCTCTCAATGTACATAAATACATAACTTCGAAAGTCAACCTTTTTTGAATTGACTGTATATATATATATATATATATATATATATATATATATATATATATATATATATATATATATATATATATATATATATATATATATATATATAGCAAGTCATATCTCGAATACGCATGCGTACTACATGTCGTAGTTTCAAAGCAGGGTAAAGAGCCATGAACGGACTATGACTTTAGTGTGTCCTGCTCACATTAGCAACTGTGGACAGCTGTTTCGCCCTTTTGAGGCTCATCAGCACAGTGTAGCTAATGGAGGAGCTGCATCTCCAAATATTTATATGACGACAAAGTAGGATGCGTATGTGGGACACACAAAATATTATAAAAGTGACAAAGTAAGTCATATCTCGAATACGCATGCGTACTACATGTCGTAGTTTCAAAGCAGCGTAAAGAGCCATGAACGGACTATGACTTTAGTGTGTCCTGCTCACATTAGCAACTGTGGACAGCTGTTTCGCCCTTTTGGGGCTCATCAGCACAGTGTAGCTAATGGAGGAGCTGCATCTCCAAATATTTATATGACGACAAAGTAGGATGCGTATGTGGGACACACAAAATATTATAAAAGTGACAAAGTAAGTCATATCTCGAATACGCATGCATACTACATGTCGTAGTTTCAAAGCAGCGTAAAGAGCCATGAACGGACTATGACTTTAGTGTGTCCTGCTCACATTAGCAACTGTGGACAGCTGTTTCGCCCTTTTGGGGCTCATCAGCACAGTGTAGCTAATGGAAGAGATGCATCTCCAAATATTTATATGACGACAAAGTAGGATGCGTATGTGGGACACA